TCAACTAAATAGTACATCTCCGTCATTAACCCTTAAGTATATAAAAAATTTCTAATTAATGATCAAGGACCAATGTACGTTCACTCCCAATTCTAAAATTCAATTTTCAGCATAAAAGCATAAACAAACAACACACGTAACACATAGAATGTTTATGAATCAATAGACAAAATCGTAAGCAGATAACTTCGACCACGATTTCAGTTTGGGAATGCATGCGCATATATACAGACTTAAACAACTTCACAACTCATAAACCACTAGCGAAATTCAAGAGAGCAAAATCTTAAGACATTTTCATGAAAAAAAAAAGAAACAATATATGGGAACAAAATCAACATACGCTAGAATAAAAGCGGCAACTTATGACAAATTTTCACAGTAGTTTTACACCGGGTGTTGGACCGCCGTGCGTGCACGGCATCACCAAATCTAGTATATATATATATATATATATATATATAGAGAGAGAGAGAGAGAGAGAGAGAGAGAAGGGATCATATGAGAAAGGTAGATAGTGAAAGAAATAAGAATGATTCTAGATCATTGGATCAATGGTATCAAAGGACATGATGAAGTCAAAATGAAATAACAACGGTCAATTCTGTAATGGCGAAATCGTAAATACATGAATATTTATGGTAAAATTAATAACTTAGAGGGCATTTAAGTAATTCATTATGCAACCAAAATCAGTGGGACCCACATATGTATATTACAAACCAGATCTATCTCTCCCATCTCTCCATCTCGTCACTTCTCTCTCTCTCTCTCTATCTCTCCCATCTCTCCATCTCGTCACTTCTCTCTCTCTCTCTCTCTCTCTCTCTCTCTCTCTCTCTCTCTCTCTCTCTCTCTCTCTCGCATACACACACCGTCACACACATAAACACATTCACACACAATTTCGATCCGCCGGCCGGCATCCCACAACACAGCCGCACACCAGACCCTCGCCGCCGCCGCCGCAGCAAACCTAGTCATTCACATCGTAGCCGCCGGGCCGCCGCACAGTACGCCGACTCCGTCAGACCCGCCGCTGCCGGAGCTTCCACGTCGACGGCGATTAGCTGTACAGACCGCCGCTGCCGGAGATTCCATTTCGACGGCGATTAGCTGGACAGACCCGACGCTGCCGGAGCTACCATGCCAGAGCCACCCCGCTAACTGAGCACCTGTGATGCTTACTTCAGGCATGACATAATAGGCGGTGACTGTATTTGGCGACTGAACTAAGGGAAGAAAGATTTAGTTGAATTTTGTCACAAACACACTCGTTAAACAATTAAAGATGAGGCCATATTTGGTAAAAGGGGGAAATAGTTGGATTGATTTTCAAGTTGACTGTAATTCAATAATTCAATAGGTGAGGCAATGACGGCGGTAGCTGGGCTGTGGTGACGGCGAAAGGGCCGACGGACGGCGGCGGGTGGAATTGGAGATGTCGGTGGCTGTTTGGATTGGGATATGAAGAGGGGCCTTCAATTGAGAATTTAATAAGCTTCAAGGACTCATATGCAATTTTTCACAACTTTAAATGTATTATAATTTAGTACTTATGACAAATGTGTAATTTAATAAAATCTCAATACATATACAATAATAAATAAAGTGCCCACTAGTGTGCAACCAAATATATATTAATGTGCGATTCGTGTAACAATATTGTGCAATATGAACCAACCGATATTTTATTTCAAACCACTTTAATACCAAACACAATTAACTAATTTATTTGATCGTTTAATCAAATTAATTGAAATGATTGAGTTAATATATTATTTATTATTTCATAAATAATATAAAATTCGAAAAAAATTAAACATTTTATAATTGTTTAAAAACATTATTTTAATATAAACAATTTAAAAAACTAATATTTTATGTAATTTGGTCAGTTCATTATTTCTGTCACATTAAATATTAAATATGAGAACGAACTAAAATAACTAAAATTTTAGAGGTAAAAAAAAAAAAAGAAATTGAACCGACATAAATTTTGAACCAAAACTTAGTTCGTCCAGTTTTGACTGGTATAGTGCAATTTAGCAATCATTAATATGCAATTCGTATAACACTAAAGTGCACTTAAAGTGCATAAATTTTAATAATTTGTCTCAAACCAAACTAAATCTAAATATATTTAGTATTTTAATGTATTTATTGAATATCATACATAATTTTCGGTTGTAAAACAAAATACTATTTTTTTATATATAATCGGTTGGTTCGATTATTTTAAACAATAAAGCTGACTTTGGCCCGAGATACCTAAATTTCAAGAGTACAAATATATACTCAGCCCATTATATAAATTCGAATCCAAAACTTTGTTTGACCATCTGTGGCTATAGTGCAATCTGGTAGTCAACAAAGTGCAAGTCGTATAACAATAATGTGCAATCAAAGTGCAAACATTTTTTATGCAAATATATTCCGTATTTATATTTTTTTATTTAATATTTTATATTATCATTTGTTGAAAATAAATGATATATATGATATAAAAATAATATTGTTTATATAGTTTGTTCGATTATGTAAGTTGTTTTAATTTTAATCAAAATTGTATATTTTAATTTCTATTTTAAACAATAAAACTGACTTTAGCCCGAGATACCCGAAATTTCAAAAGTACAAATACATACTCAACAAATTGTATAAACTTCGAACCCAAAACTTTGTCCGACCGTCTCGGTACTATAGTGCAATCTGATAGTCAATAAAGTGCAAGTCGTATAACAATAATGTGCAATCAAAGTGCAAACATTCATTATACAAGTATATTTTGTATTTATTTATTTTTATTTAATACCTTAGATTATTATTTATTGAAAATAAATAATATATATTATATAAAATTAATATTGTTTAGTTTGTTTAGTTATGTTAATTGTTTTAATTTTAATCAAAATTGTATATTTTAATTTCCATTTTCATTCTAAGTAATGTGTATTTTATCTATAATAATTATGTATTTGCTAATTTTTCTTTAAATTACATATTTAGCCTTGCACTAAATTGAAATACAATGAAGTTATCTAAATTGCACATATATCCCTTGGATTTATCAAATTTGCCCAATACTGCAATAACCCGAAATATAAGAATTCACTGTATAATTTCTGCAATTGGGGATCTAAGAATTCACTATCCAATTTATGAAACTGGGGCCAAATTCTGAAATAGATCCACGTTGGCGACGCCGGCGGTTCAGGCGGAGACCCGATGTCGTTAATGGGAGGACGTTAATGGCGAGTCCGCGCAGTTGTCGAGGTGGCGTATGCGGTGGTTGAGTCGACGGCGGCGGATGTCGTTGAATCAGAGCTGTCGGGCCGCGATGTTGAGGAGGAGTGACGATGTCGACGACGGCGGCTGTGTCGCGACGAAGGCTTGCTCGTCGCGTTAATGGCGTGTCCGGCGGCTGGCTTGCGGTGGGGTTGCAGCGGGGTGCGACTGGTTCTCGGGCGACAGAGAGCGGCGAGCGGCGACGGAACATGACTCCTTGCTGCGGCGGGACCTTGACGGTTGTCGGAGCAATGGCCCGATCGGAGTTGTGCGTGTGTGTGTTTTGTCTGTGTGCGTTCGTTTAGGTGTGTGTGAGTGTGTGTGTGTGTGTGTGTGTGTGTGTGTGTGTGTGTGTGAGAGAGAGAGAGAGAGAGAGAAAGGAATGTGTGTGTTTGGTTTGTGTGTGTGCGTGTGGTACGGTGTCTATGTGTGTTTGAGAGAGAAAGACACGAGAGAGGTGTATTGGTATAATGTCTAAATTACCCTTAATGAATTCACAAATAGTGTATTTTTATGACCGTTAGATTATCTAATCTTATGGCTATCACATATTCTTATTTCTTTCATTGAGAATCATTCTCACTTGAACCCAACCCTATATATATATATATATATATATATATATATAGGGTTGGGTTCAAGTGAGAAAGAGTTTTGGTGAAAGAAATGAGAACAAATCTCAGCCATAAGATTGAACAATCCAACAGCTTAAAAAATATCTAAATTATACCTTCATTAAGGGTAATGTGGTATTTTTCCATACCAATTCAAAGAGGTGGGTCCCAATCCAAATTAATATAACTCGGTCAACACCTGCCAACCCACACTAACCCATACATTATATCTCTCTCTCTCTCACACACTTACACACACTCTACAATTCATACGTTTCACACATATACATACACAGTTACATACACAAAAATGTCCACACGCCTGACACGCTCATCTTCAACATCCACCGGCGAACCATTCATCGTCGCCGCACCGCCGCGATACGCCGGCGTTCCTCCGACACGCCCATACTTGCACTGTTGCACAGTTACATACACAAATACACAGTCGGCCGGCATCCTCATATCCGACCTCCAACCGGCGAACCATAATTCGCCGCTGCACAACCACCAGGTGCCGGCGTTCCTCCCTCGCACCACCATACGTATTCACTCGCAACATATACATACATTGAGCACCATCATCTCCCACCCGTCCCACCGACTGTCGTCGTCCAATGCTCGCCGCAGACCCGCCGTAGATCCGCTGTTGTTACCTGCCACGCCTCCATCGAAGGGCGATGCTTCATCGCGACACCACTGTCATCATCCACTCCTCACACGCTCAGTCCGACAATCCCATTTCTCAATCTCTGCCGCCGACCCGTTGACCTCCTCCGCCGACACCTTGACCTCCGCCGCCTCCTGAGATCGAACCATACCCTCTCCAATGGGAGATGTGTTGATAAGGGGCAATTTGAATCTCTGAATCTGACTGTATGTTT